AACAACAAGTGTGCTCGAAGAACCAATTTAGCCGCATCATAATTAGCGCGATAATCTCATCTTAGATGTGTCAATTCATTTCTGATGTGTCAAGCGACATACGAAGAACGGACCCCAGATATCTGGGATCAAAACAAACACCACCATTGCTTACTATGTACTTTTATAATGTCTATACTTTGATGTCAAATTACAAACTTAATATAAATCTGACATATTTACAAAGTACATTAAAATAAAGATGAGTTTAATGCCAAAACAAATATATAAGAAATAATTTATTTGCCATGAATTAAGTTTAAAATATTGAAAGAAATGTGTGATCATGCCCCAGTCAGTGAATATGTGTTCCCTACCCCTAGACTCCAGAGGGTTAACATAAGCTGTCATATGCTGCCATTCAACATTTTTTATTTTGCTCATCACACCACCAGATGAATTATCAAATAAAACAGCTTGGCATTCATTTAAGATACTGCAGTTCACTTTATGGGAAATGTATTTTCTTTCCTTTTGTGAATGGCTTCATTGTCTCTCAAATAGTGTTACAAATGCAATATATGCATGTTTAGATATACACATAATTAATTTCCATTGCCAGTTTAAGGTGATTCCTGGATGGAAGTGTGCACACTTGTGAATGTTTCTATAATAAGTTGGATTTATAAAACTATAACATGCTTAGCTTAAGACAGCCCGTTGTTAACCCAACGTCGGCGTCTCCTTCTCTCTTCTTCTCTGGCTCCACTGATGTGCCAGGAGCCTGAGATAAGAGTGGCAGATCTGATGACAGACACCGAAAAGGTATCAATCACCTGGATGTTGTTGCTGCTGTTGATGTTGTCTCTTTGATCTTCCTCTATCCATTGAATCCACCGAGTCTCAGAGAAACTTGCTCCTTTGAGAAATGTTATCTGCCTGAATGATCAGTGGGCAACACCTGATTCCAGGTCGGAAGGAGTAATGTTGAAAGCAGTGAAGGCTGCTTTGATATGATCCTTGTAGTGTTTCCCATTAGTTTGCTTTAGAGCAGGATTTTGGGAAGTTGTGTCTCTGACATGCAAACCACATGGCTAACCCACTTCAGCTGGCATAAGAGAAGCATGGTCTCAGTGCTGGGACAGCTTGTTCTTTGAAGAATCTCAATGTGAGGGATACAATCTTCCTAGGAAAGTCCAAGAATTTTCTGCAGTGACTTGGTGTGAAAAGTCTCAAGAGCACAAATATTCCACTTATAGGGAGTCCAGGCTTCACAGCTGTAGAGAAGGGTGGAAAGGCAAACTGCTTTGTACTCAGCTATCTTTATCTTCATCTTCAGGTCCTGATTGAAAAACACACACTCCTGAAGGTGCCCGAAGGCACGAGACGAGTTACTCAAGTAATGCCAGATCTCCTCGTCCAGTTGGCATTTGTCAGAAACAATACTTTCAAGGTGAGTTGCGGAAGATGTGTTGGGGATGTGTCATTTCCTATCTCCAACAATGTATGTATAGTGCCGTTGGGATCATAATGAAGAGTTTCAGTCTTTGTTATGCTCATTTCCT